TTTTTTTTTTTTTTCCCCGTGTCTCTCTTTTTACTCGCTGATTAAATAAGAAAAATCGATCTGGGGGTAAAGGCGGCGGTGGGGAAACAAGTAACCCTTTTGTTTCCAGTCGTCTGTTGTACAAGCACTTAAGTGTGAACGCTGGCAACCATTTAACCGCCACTACGTGAACACTTCTTCCCTGGAATTTGTAACAAATCTTTTCCACCTGGTTCTAGGCGGCTCCAAAAAAATTAAAAAATAAAATAAGGTCCCAGCCAACCATATTAACACCTCGGGCCAGCCTCGTTTTTTACCAAATCGATTTGTGGGAGATAAATATACTAGAAAGATTAACCCGTTAAGCAGTCCCAGTATGCATTTTTAAACGGAAAGATTGTCAGAGTTCCCCTTCCCCCAGATCTTTAACCCTATCTTGGGGAAAGGAGTTGGGGGGGGGGGGAAGATGTGTCAAAGTCCTCTGACCGCTAGCCAGCTCAATCCACCAAGAATAGAGAAATATTTTACAATCTATTATAGGACGAATGCCAACAACCAAGTTAATGGGACTCTGAGGTCACAGGATAAGAGAGGTTATATAAAATAACAAGCGCAGTATTGTACTGTAACAGCTAATATACTTAAATTAATGTATATATATATATTAAGCCTTTAAAGCACTTTTATTTTTTAATTTTTCACTGTTATTTGCCATTACTTTTAGGAGCTACAAGGTGGAAACCTTAAAGTCAAAGATGTACTCTGAATTTCACTGAAAGCATCATGATCCCAAGCATTAAAGATCCAACACTACTGTAATTTCCACATGACAATTACAATTTGAGGATGTGTCTTCAGAGTCAAGTGGACATAGAAAGTGGATTACTGGTAGCAAAAGACAGCTTATGATGTAAACACTCAGTGATGACTTTGCGGGTCAATAAAAATATTTATGTCACATGTTTTAAGTAATGTCTATTGACTCATGTTTGAGCTTCCAATATATTTACTTCTTTTTAAAAATGGCAATGTGGGGGCGCCTGGGTGGCGCAGTCGGTTAAGCTTCCGACTTCAGCCAGGTCACGATCTCGCGGTCCGTGAGTTCGAGCCCCGCGTCAGGCTCTGGGCTGATGGCTCAGAGCCTGGAGCCTGTTTCCGATTCTGTGTCTTCCTCTGTCTCTGCCCCTCCCCCGTTCATGCTCTGTCTCTCTCTGTCCCAAAAATAAACGTTGAAAAAAAAAAATTAAAAAAAAATAAATAAATAAAAATGGCAATGTGTTGTTTCACTACCCATAGATGAACTCAACTTGACGCTGCAAATAGTAATAAACAGCACTTTGCTGAGGTATATAAACTAGAGGAATGCAATCTAGACTAGTCCTGAGATCTCCCTAAAGCGATCTGTATTCAAATCAACGCGATACATTAACAAATAAAATGGGGCAAATTAGCCACCTGATATCCACTTACCCTCCATTTTAGCTCTGATGTTTGTTTCTATTTTTGAATACACAGATTTACAAATTTTTTTAATGTTCAATTGATAGGAATAGCACCATATGGTGATTTTTTTTTTTTTTTTTTAACTTTTCTTCTTTTGGAAGAGTGGTTCCTCAAACGTCCAGATCACTCCTGGGCACTTCCAGTGTCCCTGGAGTATGTACTCCATTTCAGCCATTGGAACACCATGGCTACCCGCCACCCCCCCCCCCCCCATGTTATATCAGCTTAGAAAAATCAACAGCTAGCTCTTACAACAACTGGACTTCAAAAAGCACAGAAAATAAGACCTGAATTTGTGAAGCTGGAAAGGGTAGAAGCAGCCCTCTAACACCGCCTTGGTAAAAAGCAAATCCTTGAGTCTGGGGCATGGATTCAGGATAACTAAAACCAAAGCTCAGGCTTCCTAATACTCAAATAATCTGATCTAACCCTAACATTACCACCTAACCTTAAATCTTAAACTTTTTTGTTCAGTAAACCCTACTGGTCAAAGGTAGGGGCTTATGCCAAACTCATTCACGAATTTAACTCAAACCATTTTCCTGCTGTCCCAACATCTCCACACTCCATTTGCACCCCACCCCCCATCTCCTGCCCTCCCCATTCTTCTCGAAGATTTGAATAAGCCAGAGTTGTTATGCTGGCTCTGCGTGTGTTTGTTTTGTTTTGTTTGACAAAGGGGGCAATCAAGAGACATCAGAGGGCTATCAGCTAATTGATGAGTGAAACGAAGATAATTAACTAGCAGCTTTAGAAAGTCAGGGCTGCTCCCCTCACAAACATCGGGACGCTCTCAGATTTTCGAGAAGAAAGTTTTAGCTCTGTCTCTTATCAAGATAACAGGACCACGCCAGTCTCCATATTAATATCCACATGCACATCCTTGGTGACGCTGGCAGACTATTGCATGACACGAGCACTTTGTCATTTTAGTGCCTGTCTCCCCAGAGATGTGGTAGTGGGGAGGAGCCAGCTGGAATTGGAGTCTAGAAGGAATGGTGGGGTGGAAGCCGGTTGAGGAACAGTGGGTAAAGGGGGCAGTTAAAGAGTGTTCTCCAATCACCACCACCAAGAGCCCTGCCCCCCAGGATATTCTGCACCAATCACAAGGTGCAGAAGCTTCCGGCCTAGGACTTTCCCCACTATTTACGAGCCAAAGAGCTCAATGCTGAGAAGGCCAGGGCCTTCGAGCAGTTAACACAGAAAAACACAACAGTAGATGTGTCTCCGGTTCCTATTTCCTCTGAATTATGGTATATGAGGGATCAGAAAAAAATTCTTCAGCTTTTATTCGGATGGGAGTGTATACCTGGTCCTAGCTTTTCCAAAAAATCTCTGTCAACATGGACACGTCCTCGCTCAGGACCAAGCGGGAAAAGCGGAAAGCAAAGTTATAAGGAATAAAACCGACCTGGAAATGGGCTTGGTGTATGGGAAAAGGAACTCAATTTAGACATAATGAGAAATTTTGTGGCTGCCCAAGAAGATTGTGGAGAAAGATTCTTATCTGTGTGGGGTTGTTTATGAACAGACCGGCCCCAAGGTAGTGGGCAGGTGACCTGCCCTGGTTTCCAGGGAATGTAGAGTTGGTGATTTACACGCCCACACAAACACTACAAGGTCTTCACTCTTTTTACCTACTGGTAACATTCTACCTTCCCACTTGCACAAGGTCTTCTAGAGAAAACTGTTTCTCTGCCTTTTCACACCTGCTGACTAAGTCCACTTTGAGTTTCCGGGGAG